CCCAGGACGACACTGGCAACACATCGCCATATGGCCCTCATCGTGCTCTAGACACCACGTTGCACCACAACGAACGATACTCGGACAACTGTGCGGTTCGTTTTTACGTGCATACGGTAGTTTCGTTGCCCAGTACTACCACCACCAGCAGGAGCACTGCCATCACCTGCCACCGTCTCCGAGTGCTTGCCTCTTTTCCCTCCTTTTCCTCACTGTGCCCGAACGAGACCCCCCGTTTCAGCGATGACTATGTCAGCCAAGGCTGCGGCCACCGTGTCGGCGGTGCTCAGCATCGGAACCGTCGTGCTGTGCGTGCTGTTCGTACCGTGCCTGGTCCGAAAGATGCACACCGTACGCCACGAAATCATGACGTTCGTCGACGAGTTCAACGTAAGTACTGTCGACCGCCGCAACTCAGTACTCGATCATACACCCGTCTTGTGCTAGGTGATCAGTGATGACGTGTGGCGAGAGATTCAAGTCCGGGGAAAGCGATTTTCGAACGTTCGAAAAGTGCGGCAGGTGGAAAACAACAACGGGAACGTATGCAGTAAGCAGCAGCAGCTTACGCTGGCAATTACGACTTTCACAATCAGTGGTTCCATATTGCGGTTTTAGAGTGCGAGGTTGACAATCAGTGTCCCGTTGGCCCCCCTGGCCCAGCCGGAGCTCCGGGCAACGACGGGTAACTACTGCAATGTTTTATGCTTTCCTGCTACTCCTTCTTCACTTTCAGCTTGCCTGGTGAGGATGGACCCGACGGCGAAGACGGTCTTCCCGGAATCTATCCTCCCGTACCACTCAGGGCAGACGGAAAATGCCGGTGGTGTCCACCTGGACCTCGCGGCCAAATGGGCGATCCAGGAAAGCCTGGAGCGTCGGTAGATATCTGTTGTTTAAATTGTTTAGTATTTAATTTGAATTTGAATATGATTCCCATAAGTAAACCTTTAAATGGAAAAGATTAATTGATAATTTGCTGGTGTTTTAGGGTTCCAAAGGCAATAGAGGTCGCCCCGGTAGAGCCGGAATACCAGGACAAATCGGAATGGCTGGCCAGACAGGAGTTACTGGCTCGCCCGGTAAAGCTGGCAAATCAGGTCCTATGGGACAACCCGGCAAATCAGCGACCCTCGGCAAGAAGGGTCTGCGCGGAGACAAAGGACCTCGCGGCCCACCTGGCCCACCAGGACCAGAAGGATTCACCGGACTGGCCGGTGCACCTGGTTTCGAAGGTGCAAAAGGACCTCCAGGACCAAAAGGAAAACCAGGTGAGCCCGGAAGACCAGGCAAAGACGGTAGGGTCGGATCAGAAGGTGAGCCTGGTAAGGATGGCGGCTATTGTCCGTGCCCACCAAGAACGGTCGAGTACCAAAAACGTCGAAGATTCCACCACTAACTGCAGTATACTCTGATCCCGAGTGGCGGGCGACCGTTATTACCAGCTGATATGTACGCAACCATAGTTCATATCGATACCATACTGGTTCGTGTTGTAGGAGATGTATCTGTACAATTTAATTTGAATATGTTCATTAAACGTGATTAGTAACATGCTTAGTGTTCTGAACAATGATCATAGCTGTGGCTGTCGAACGTGGGGAAAAATAGCGGCCACGCTCTTTTTTTGCCTTGTTGTTTTTTACCATGAGGGACACGTAGAAAACCGCTGTTTGCTGTTACAACGGCCACCTTTACACATCTACCTCCATCCCATGAGTGGAGCAATGTGCACAATTTTCATAGAAAAAGTGTATCAGACAGGGGAGACGGAGCAGGTAAAGTGAGACTCCTTAGGGTCACTTGTCTTAAACCCTTACAGCAGCTATTTTCTAAAGCAAAACAAAAGTAAGCGCTGACGGCTCATAGATCTAGAATTCTTTGAGACATGAATCAGTCAAGGGTTATTTGTGTAAGCGTCCCCGAAGAATACGACCAGCATTCCTGTCCTCTAGAAATGGCTTGATTGAGTACCAAAGAGAAACAGTACCCCCACAACGTTATTCAACACTGTGCGGTTGTGTGTGACATTGCTGCTCGCTGCTTTCATGTGACTTGTACAGAGGCGTCCCAACGGAC